AAGATAGCTTCCCCAATTATCACCTCTAATACCATTAGCTCACAGACATTTACCTTTTCCCACCTCTAATACCATTAGCTCACAGACATTTACCTCCCCACCCCGCATCCCCCTTCTGTTCTGAAATGTGATTTGTCCTTTTCATATGTGTTCATTTTTTTAATTGTATCCTTTGGTATATATGGTTGTGACTATTTTCTTCCACTATTTGATCTGAGGAAGTGGGTCTGGCCCACGAAAGCTCATCATCTAATAAACCATCTTGTTAGTCTTTAAAGTGTTACATTGTCCTGCATTTTGCTTCAGCTACCCCAGACTAACACGGCTACATTTCTATCACTATTCTAGTATTCAGTGATCATTAAATGACAGATCCATCACACCTTATATAAACTAAGTATTTAGTTTAAAAATCTTACCTTTGCACATTAGTCAGATTATGTACTGGGATGTAAGATCTTAGTTTCTTCTATTTTGTTTACTTACACATCTTTGCTTTCAATAGGTGAGATGGCCCAACCTCTTAAGAGGCCCAACAAGAGGAGTTATGGCAGTGCATTTAATCATCACAGTTCCATACATCTGCAAGAAAATGATTCTGCAGCCACTAATATTGACCCAAAGGAGGATCACAATTACAGCGCTATCAGCATGGCTTCACAACGTTGTGCATCTAGGTCCAGTGTGTCTTCCTTGTCCTCTGTTGATGAGCTATATGAATTTATCTCCAAGACCAGCCATGCAGGAAGTGATGGCAGTGAAGGATTTCATAGTGAAGTGGATACAGACATTGACTATGAGGATGATCCTCTTGGAGACAGTGGTTATGCATCACAACCTTGTGTAGATACCTTTGACAAAAGTCAGCCTAGCAAGGAAGCACTCAAGGAATTGTGTCAAGAAATTGATGAGGAGCTGAAAGAGGCAGCTGGGTCTTTGCTCCACCTTGCTGGCATCAGCACATGTTTGGGTTCTCTAATAAGTACTGCAAGGACCCAAAGTCAAAAGCAGCAGAAAAAATAGTAATGTTTGTTAGTGTGAATATATTCCTATATTTTTTTTAAGGGTGGCAATACAATACTCTTCTACTTTTACCCTTCACAAGGAAGATCAAAGCCATAAGAGGACTTGCTTGTTTTTTATATTTATGCTAAATTATAGTTTAGCCTTTTATTTGTAATTGTTGCTTAGATAAGGTTTTCTTTAATCTTTTCAGATTAGAAGAGATGTTTGACATGTGAAAACCTGCCTGTATACTTTTTGATGACCAGTGATTTCCAGGGGGATGCATAAGTTCACAAAGGAGTGAATTTCATCCTATATGAGGGGAGACAGTTTCCCGCTTTCCCTCCCCAAGACACAAATAACTTTCACTGGTGTAGCAAACACTGAGAAATTGCCATTTTAAGTGTGCCACTTACCATTTTCCCCAATTATTGAATACACAGCAGCAAAGATTTTTGCTGATGTATTTGTTTGTCATGTGTAAAAAATACCTGTTAATAAACACAAAGGTAATGCTGTTTTAATTCACAAATGAAGATTCTAGATGGTTAAATTGTAAATGACTGGGTCAAGAACACTGGGCCAAGTTTACGGAAAGCATAATATAATGGTTTCCTTAAAGATTAGAAAAACAGAGTTAATGACATTAATTTCTAAATACACTATATGCATTTTAATATCTGCTACTTTGGTCTCAGGCTACTGATTACTGAGCTTTGGCTTCACCATGTCTATACCATTTTAGCCTCCTTTGAAGTACAGTGTATGTCGAACAGCATGGCATTCTCAGGGCATACACCATGAATCATGGTGCTCTCTTCATATTTGATGGTGAAGTTCCTTAAAATTCATCATGTTTGCAGTAATAATAATCTTTATAACCCAGACATCCTGCAGACAAGAATGTTATTTATAGTAATCAAGTGTAATGGATATTTTAAAAAAGCTCAATGTTGATTGCTTAGATCTTAATGCAGATGGTGGCAATATTTTAGGATTTTGTGCAAAAGGAAGGGTCTGACACATTAGAATAACTTTAACTGCACTGTAAGTATAAGAATGCCTTAAGTAGGTTCCAGCATAGCATAAAACTTAACAGAGGTCATTTTGCCTGTATTTGAGAAGCAGTGTGATGTGCCATTAGTCTGATTAGCTCATATGTTAAACTGCTGCTTCTAAGTGTTGGACAAGATGGCTTAGAATTAGAATCATATACTGTATTCCCATAAATGAAACCCTGTCCAGGTTTTGGTTGCTGGCTCCAACAAAAAGAAATGAAGTTAAATTGCTACTAGTGGGATAACGTTTTTCTGGCTATTTGGATACAAGGCTCTTGGAGTTTGGTGTTTTCTTATTTGTCGATTTCTTCAGTATCCTGCTCGTATAATTATCCCTTCCATGTTCAGTATTCATACAGCAATGTTGCTGAATTCCCATTGTTTTAAGGTTCTTCTTCAGTGCCTGTTGAGGATAATGGAGATAATCCTATTGACTTAATGGGCTTTGGATCAGGCCCCAAGATATTCAATCATCCAATGGCTTTAAGGGGGCTACACTTCTAGTTTTAAGCATAAAAGTTTTTAAAAAAGAGAGAAATCTGTATCTCTGGCACTGTGATTGAGTGTATACACCAAACAGTCCAGCTCTACTGAGGAAAAAATGGTATACCCCAGTGTGCTCCATTTTGCATCTCATCTGCATCTCTCTTAGATATCCTAAGCAGTGAATTAGCTGGCCATATGAACAAAGAAACAAACAAATGAAAAGGCTCATTAAATGTAATTACAAACTGGGTAGTTCATGGGATTTCTTAACACTGAGTTGTATGTGTTGATGCTTGACACTGCTTTCATTAGTGTTTGCCAACATACTTGTTTTATAGTGTTTGATGCAAAATGTGTTCAATATTTTACTTCTTGTATATATTGTGTTTTAAAATTCTGCAAGCTGCCTCGAATATTTTAAATAGAGAAGCAGGGTAAAAATATTTTAAATAAATAAATATAGCAATATAAAAATAACGATTCAACTAAGGAGAAGTATTATTAATAGCCCTTTGAAATTTGTTTTCTGTATCTCAAATTATTTAAATTCAGTCTGATAGAATAAGTGTGGTATTAAGCTCCTGCTAAAGCTAATCACAACATTCCTTTTAACCTTAAAGGAAGCTAGACCATGCCCTAAATCTGGGCTGAGCAAAATATGGCCTGTGGGCCAAATCCAGCCCACCAAGCCACTGGAACCAGCCCGTGGGTGCAACAGGAGCCCTAGCCAGGCACTGTGCCTGCCCTGCCCCTGCACGCCAATCAAAAAAGCCCTGTTTGTGAAAAGCTGTGAGCCCGGGGTGAGGATGGGAGAGGCTTTGCGTGCTGCTTCCCCTCCCAGCACAATCTCACAGTTCCCATTGGCCAGACAGTGGCCAATGGGAGCTGTCTCTTTTTAAAGAACAGACAGCATGTGAAGTATTCCTCCCCACTTCCCTGGGGCTTGCAGCTGTTCAGAGATGCATGTGGCCCTGTAGCTAGCAGTTCTGAGTGGTTTGCAGGGTATGGAAGGCAATGAGCCTAGCTATAAAACCTGCTGGGCTACTGCCCAGGAATTACCCAGGTAAGTGTCTCCCAGCCAGAGCTTCCCTCTGGCACCCCAGCCCTTCCCTCTCCCCAACCCTCTGCCCCCTGTCCCACATCTCAGCCCTCTGCCTCCCACCCCATAACCCCTTCCAGACCCACAACTCCAATTCCCTCTCCTAAGTCACAACCCCCTCTAGTCCTAGGTCATATCCCAAACCCCTGAACTCTCTCCTGCACCACAGTCCCTGCTCCAAATCACAACCACCTCGTTCACCCAGTTCCCTCCCAGATCCACACCCTCTTCTGCACTTCAAACCCTTGCCCCAAGCTCCTTCTGCACCCAACCTCCATCCCACACCCCATACTTCCATTAATATCATGGAAAAGTGCGGTCCTTGACCACATACCAAATTCTTGAAGTAGCCACCTATCAAAAATTATTGCCCACTCTTACCCTAAATATTCACATGCAGGAAATTGTATTCATACCCATCTTCTTGCTGTTAAGAATGTTAATCTGTTCAAATCTTATTCTTCATTTCCTAACAAAATATTTTTTTTCAGAAAATAAAAAGACTCCATGCTAAGTAGGGGCCCGACTTCCACTTTTACACTGGAATCAGTTATGCTACTTAGCATGAGTGAGGGTGTCAGAAGTGGGAGATCAGTTTATGTATTTTAGTCTCCAGATGAAAACCCAGTGCAATAAAATCATTCTGTAATTAACAAAAAGCTAGGAGTGCTATTTATACCTTTTACATAAAGCCTAAATGAACAAACTGGGAGATAATAGGGGATGGGAATCCTCCTTTCTGGGCAAGTGGTAGCAGGCACAGGACACTATATTACCGGTTTGCACCCGTTTCTACAGTCTGTGTGGTACTGCCCTGAAGGTTAAAGGCGAATGGATCTGTCCTCACTTGTCTCACCTGTGTTCCAGTATTAATTTTATTGCTCTGTTCCAGCAGACAGAAGGGCTATAGGGCCCTCCTGCAATCTCTTGCTTCTCAGATCTCAACATCTCCAGCTGTAGGGCATGTGAATGTCACCCTAACTGTTCAATTAGATAGTTTCATAACCTTTCATTTATACACCTTGCGGTCTGAGGGGGAGACTATGTTGTATATAGTATGCATTGAAGAGTGTTTAAACTGCTTTTTCAGTGACATTATGTAAAGAGTTATACCAAACAGTCAGTTTAACTATATTATAGCAGCTATTAAAAGGGTAGAAAAAGTGTTAACGTCACTTGCAATTCTTAATTAAAATGAAGAAGTGTATAAGACCTGTTAAATACTGATGTGATGACTGTAACAATATCAGTGTTTCATATTCCAGTACTAAATTATTGGTTCAGTGAAAATCATAGCATATGCAACTGTATAAACGGAAGTTTAACAAAAATGGTTAAAGCAATGGTGTAGTCAAAATATTTATTGAAAGAGTATTTTAAACATTGCACCTGACATTATTTTAAAGCACAGTCTTCACATATAACTGCCAATGCCATTACCGATACTGTATTATAAATGTACATTTCTTCTAGTTTGAAGAAATTAAAAAGTGTATAATTTAAAGTATTATGTTGCCATCATTGTAACTATAATTTATTCAGAAATGAAATTGTAAGAATGTTTTCCTGATCAAAGTAACTGGAGTTGTAGGTCTTGGGTTTATTTAGAATAACTCTGCCAATAGATGACCAAACTCTGTTCCGTCCTTTACACATTTTAAAGACAATTTAGATGTTTAGTTTTTTGTATGCTAACCTCTGTTAATTAAAATGTTTATAAAGTTTATTTTTACCAAAGAGATGCATTGCAATATGATGAAACATTGCAGAATAAACTTTTTTATAACATTTCTGACTAATCGTTTTCTACAGTTCAAGTATGTGATGAAGAAGCTTATATACAGATAAACAGCATTAAGAAACGGAAGCAGCCCAGTAGTATCTATTTTTCCACAGAAAGATCAAGGGCCTGTTCTCATGAGAGGCTGAGTGACACTGACTCCCATTCAAGTCACTGCCTCGCAGAACTGGCACATACAAAAACGTGTAATTCAATCTAGGTTTCTAGTTATGAAAGCCACTCTTTTATGAAAATAAGTTGTGCCACAAGTGAACCCTGTCAATACATCAAAACATCGGCAGACTAACTCTTCCTTGATAATTGGACCACTCTGTGAACTATAGATAGAGATGCCATGACTTAACACCACAACATCTTGAACCACACATCCTCTATTTTCCCCCGATATTCATAAAATGTAAGAATTCACTCTTGGGGTAAAATCTTGGCCCCATTGAATTTGATGAGGCTATTGCTATTTGACTTTCAGGCCAGAATTTCATCTCTAAATTTTGGAATTTCAGAATAGTTTGTGGTCACTGGAATGTTTGAGTAGCACTTCATTCCTTACCCTGCTATGCCTTGCTCATGTGGTGTATCTTATCTACAAAAGCAAATGGTATTTGTTTCAAATTTGTACTTAATCTTAATCAAATGATCCGCACAGTTATGAAATAACTGAGTATCATCCGTTGAAGAAGACATTATTGCTTAATAAAACCATGGCTCACAGAAAACCTGCACTGAATTACATCCCCCTCTGGGTTTGTGATTTTTTTGGTTACTTTTACAGCTTTATCTAATTTTTCTTTCAATATGATGATGTTCAAACTCTCGCATACCCTACTTTCCACGGGAAACTGTGTAAGATAATATGCAGTAATTCACTCCTTTTCTTCTTTCCTTACCAGCCACCAGCACGAGTTTACTCCTTTAGTCTTTGGTTTCTTACTAAAAAGTTTTTTTTAATACATCAGAAGCAGGAAGCCGGCTAAACAACCAGTGGGGCCCTTGGACAATTGAGATGCTAAAGGAGCCCTCAAAGATGATAAAGTCATAGCAGGAGAAGCTAAATGAATTCTTTGCTTCAGTCTTCACAGCTGTGGATATTGGGGAGATTCCCAAACCTGAGCCATTCTTTTTAGGTAACAAATCTGAGGAATTGTCCCAGAGTGACATATCATTAGAAGAGGTTTTGGAACAAATTGATACATTTAACAGTAACAAGTCACCGGCATTCACCCACAAGTGAAAGAACTCAAATGGGAAATTGCAGAACTATTAACTGTGGTTTGCAACTCCTGGCAATTACCGACCGGTAAGTCTAATGTTAATATTGGGCAAATTAGTTGAAACTATAGTAAAGAATAAAATTGTCAGACACACGGATGAACATAATCAGCTAGAGTTCTTTGAGGGGGTCAACCAATATGAGCATAAGGGGGATCCAGTAGATATAGTATACTTAGATTTCCAGAAAGCCTTTGACAAGGTCCCTCACCAAAGGCTCTTAAGTAAAGTAAGTTGTAATGAGAAAAGAGGGAAGGTCCTTTCGTGGATTGATAACTGGTTAAAAGGCAGGAAACAAGGGTAGGAATAAATGATAAATTTTCCACGTGGAGAGAGTTAACTAGTGGGATCCCCCAAGGGTCAGTCCGAGGACCCATCCTATTCAACCTATTCATAAATGATCTAGAGAAAGGGTAAATAGTGAGGTGGCAAAATTTGCAGATGATACCAAACTGCTCAACATACTTAAAACCAAAACAGACTATGATGAGCTTTAAAAAGATCTCACCAAACTAAGTGATTGGGCAACAAAATAGCAAATGAAATTTAATGTTGAGAAATGTAAAATAATGCACATTGGAAAACATAATCCCAACTATACATACAATATGATGGGGACTAATTTGGCTACAACTACTCAAGAGAGAGATCTTGGAGTCACTGTGGATAGTTCTCTGAAAATATCCACTCAGTGTACAGCAGCAGCAGTCAAAAAAGCAAATTGAATGTTAGGAGTCGTTAAAAAAAGAGATAGAGAATAAGACAGAGAATATCGTTTAACAAGTAGTCACAAAGGTGCGCTTAGACAACACCAATGTCATACTGATAGTGCCACACTGGCTGAGACAAACTTGGTATGCCTCCCTACTGCAAATGTCAGCCAATCGCCCATGGCATCTCCCACAGCTCCCACATCTCCTCACTCAATGTCGTGGTCGCCTACAGCATCCCCATCTCCACATCCTGAACCTTCAGGCCTAGCTCCTCAATGGCTCACTCACTAGAAGCAGAATGCACAGATGAGGTCCAACAGATCCTCAATAGTAGTGTGGCAGCAGGACTAAGGGAAAGGGGATTTGGGTGGCCATTTCAGGGTTTGTCAGTAGCAGAGCAAGAGTCTGGGTCACTCTGACTCCTACTAACGCGAGAGCCAGAAGAGACGCTGTGTTCGCCTTTCTGTCTCTCTCACATTGATAAGAGTAGAATGCTTACCTCAGTGAGAACCTTGAGATAAGACAGTGTCCGATAGGAACTGAATGGACAGGAATTCAGTATATAAACTGCTTCATAATTGCTTGTATTCGAAGATCTGCTTCGGGGGGCTTCCCCTCCCCCGTCCAAACCAGTTTTTCCCTTGCTGCAGCTCGTAATAAAACTGCTTCTGGCTACTTGTTGCTTTCAAACTTTCAAACAATTTGGTGCCGTGACTTGGATGGCAATGCCTGGGTGAGGGCAGCAGCAGCTGCTGCAGGCCGTCTCCCCTCCTAGCCTCCAAGGCGCCTTGCGAGAGGTAAGAGACCTTTTGAAATCTCTGAGGGGGTCAGAGGGAGGACTGCCCGTCACGCCGTCTACCTCGTTGAGCTCACGCCATCCGAACGTCTTGAAACTGCAACAAAGTCAGACGCAAATTGGTTACGGGGAGGTTGTTTTGTTACCCCCAAGTAGGCTTATGTTTATGCAGTGCTGGGAACTGCTGTGGTATTAGTGGTGCCACCCCGGGTACAAGAGGAAATTGTATTGCGTCCGGACATAAGGCACCTAGGTTTATGCAGTGCTGGGAACTGTTGTGGTTCTGGGGGGAAACGTGTTGTTTGCCGCCCCAAATATGGACGAGGTCCATAGAGAATGATGCATCTAAATGTTAGAGAAAATGTCTGTGTGAAAAGCATGCTGAGTGTAAATGTAATGAGTATGAATGCCACTGCCCAGGTCTCTGAGAAGTAAGCTGATTCTAGCCGCCCCAAAGCTCTCCTACGAGGGAGTTCTGAAAGCAAGGGAAGTCAGCCAAACCTCGAGACTGAGCAGGTATATGAGAGAGTGACGACTCTCCTTATTTCATGAACTGCTGCTAAGGTCTAATTCTTAAGTACTAAGATAGGGGGAGGTCAGTCTAAACATGTTCCTCGCCTCTGAAAGGCACCCCTGCACATTATATGCACGTGCATTACAATCCAAACACCTGCAAGTACGTGAAAGATTAGAATCTTTTCACAAGTGGTAATCCATCTAAACAGTTTCCACAGCAGGGTACCTTTGATTATGATAAGATTCTATACCTCAGAGAAACCCTTAGTTCACCAAAAATCCTGGATGTGCAGTGGAGACCATTTGTCTATTGGTAGGAGGAAGCCACAAAGAGACTCCATGAGTCCCGAATGTGGAGTCTAAGGGACTCTCAGGAAAAACTAAAAACACAAGTACAAGATTTGAAATTAAAATGTAAGGCATCTAGATGTCTTCCCATCCAATCCACCTCCTTAGCTCCCTCGGCTCCTTTGTATCCCCAGTTAATTAAGGCTGAGAGCGAGGAAGAGACAGACGAAGATGTAGTGGATTTTTTTAGCATTGCTCCAAGGCCGCCGCCGCCGTTCCATCCCCCTCCAACTTTCTCTTCCCCTTGGCAGGCTGTGTCTCCCGAGCAGCTGGCTGTAGCATCAGACTCAGCAGCACAGGCTTCACCCCCACAGATTAATCTTTCTGGAGAGAGTTCTTCTTCACCAGCACTGCCTAGTAGTCAGCAAACCGGGAGGGGTTGATTCCGGACACCAGGGCACCTTAAAAATTTAGCTAAAGGATTTCCAAAGTTCAAGGAAGAACCTAGAAAATTTAAAGAGGAACTCGAGATAGTATTTCAGTGTTATGATCCTTCATGGGCTGACGTTAACCAGCTCTTACGAGTCATATTGCCACCTGAAGCCCAAAAGTGGCTCACAGCTCAGGCTAACTGGCCAAATGCCAACCCTGGAAACGGGCAACCCCTGACTGATGCTAAAGGCCATCTGTTAGACGCCATTTCAGAGGTTTGCCCGAAGAAAACTGATTAGACAAAAATCAGTGGCTGTAAGCAAGACAAAGGCGAACTCCCTGCCGATTATTTAGATAACCTAACAAGGTATTTGAGCAACATTCAGGGATCAACATTCCGGGATCGCCCAACCAGCTGAGAATGCCAAAGAGGCAGTGGGGGCTGCTTTTGTACAGGGACTTTTGCCAAAGGTTCAGCAACAGCTAAAGACAATTTGCATTGGCTAGCAAGCCAAGCCCCTTTCTGAATTGGTAGTAGTTACAAATCATTGTGCAGCTTGCTTAGAGCAGAAGAAGGAAAATGCTGAATCAAAACATATAGCTTTACGGTTACAGACCTATAGAGAAAGGGGGGGAAGAGCACGGGGTGGAGCACGGACGAGAGGAAGAGTATCCTCATGCCCTCCCCAGCTAAAGAGTACAGCATGTCATTACTGTAGCCAGGAGGGTCATTAAAGAAATGAGTGCCCGAACCGATCATCTCCACACCCCTTGTTGCCTCTTCCCCCCTCCAGCTTTCCCAAACCCTGTTGCACCTGCCTTTTCTCCACAAGTTAATTCTTACTAAGACAGCCTGAGAGAAAGGTGATAGAAATGTAGCCGTGTTAGTCTGGGGTAGCTGAAGCAAAATGCAGGACAATGTAGCACTTTAAAGACTAACAAGATGGTTTATTAGATGATGAGCTTTCGTGGG